TTGAGCAGATAAGGGGCAACTAGGGGGAGAAGCTACCAGACATGGCAGGAAGGGACAGGAGGAAGAACAGGAAGAAACCAGTCAGAGAACCAGTGCATGGGCTGGACACACAGACTGTCAACCTCCTGATGTTCCATGAAGGCAAATGCTAAGTCCTTCATCTTACCAGAAATAACCCCAGAAGGGGCTGGAAACCAATCAGTTAGAGAGCTTTACAGAGCAAGACCTCTGTGCCCTGGTGGGTAGGCTGAATGTAAGCCAGGAGTGTAACCTTGCAGTGGCAATGACCAGGCACACACCAGGCTCTATCAGAGCACCAAGCAGGTCCAAGAAACCAAGCTCCCTTCTGCTTTCAGCACTTGTGAGACAGCATGTGGAGTATTGTGTCCTATTTAGACTTCCCTACATACAAAAGCCACTGACAGTGAAGCAGGTTACCAGTAGATGACTGCCAAGGTGGTCAGGGAGCACGTACAAAACCCTAGAAAGGATGAGAGAACTGGGATTGTTCAGCCTTAAGAGAAGGCCAAAAGTAAGAAGCAGAACAAATTCTGAAAGCAAGACACTCAATTCGCCCTGCTATAAAACCCAGTGTAAGAAAAAAATCATTAAGGAAAAAAAAATTAAAAAGTGACATACTGATACAAAAGTATACTACATATACATTGAGTGTCCTGGGTTCAGCTGTAGCAGTTATTTGTCTCCTTCCTAGTAGCTGGTTTGGGGTTGTGTTTCAGCTTTAGCCTGAGAACAGTGCTGATAACACACCAATGTTTTAGTTGTTGCTAAGTAAATGCTTACCCCGACCGAGGCCTTTTCAGTCTCATGCTCTGCCAGGGAGAAGGGGCACAAGAAGCTGGGAGGAAGCAGAGACAGGACACCTGACCCAAACTGGCCAAAGGGGTATTCCGTACCACAGCACGTCATGCCCAGTATAGAAACTGGGGGGAGTCACCCAGAAAGCCCAGATCGCTGCTTGGGCTGGGCTGGCTACCAGTCAGCAGGTGGTGAGCAATTGTGTTGTGCATCACTTGTGTTCATTGGTTTTCTTTCCCTTCCCTTTTTAGTTTTATATTCTCTCTCCTTGTTATTATTACTAGTAGTAGTAGCTTCATATTATACTTTGGTTATTGGACTGTACTTACCTCAACCCGTGGGGTTTGCATTCTTTCGATTCTTCCCATCCCACCCAGAGGAGGGCAAGGGAAAGGAGGAGTGAATGGCTGGGCTTAAACCACGACACTGAGACGAAAAGCTGATTTGTAGCATCTCACCTCATCTACCTCTTGCGTTGAATTAAAAACAGTTGCAATGTCAGGCTGCTCTTAACTTCTCATTTGCTGAGAAGGCTATGACATTACTGTTGACATTGTTTCTTCTAGGACCAAAATGCAGAGAACTGGATCTGAAATGAGAAATATTAATTATGTTTGAAAGTCCCTTTTGCTTCTTCCTCCCAGGAACATTTATGTTTGCTTGTCGACAGATAACTGAGAACTATCGTACTATTTTCTATAAATCATTCTTCCCTCCCTATAAAAAAAAGCTTAAAATTAGTACTTTTTTATTCTAAACAGAAATGCTTGATTTTATTCCAGCAAGACAGCAAGAAATACGGCTTTTTATTTGAACCAAATGTTACGTTTACTCTTCTATCTAACCATGTTCCATACTCAGCTATTGTGAAAATTTCTCCTACCAATATGGCCTGAAATACGTAATTCTGTGACTGTGAAGTCACAGTACTGGAGCAGTACAGCATGCCCTTTAAGAAATCCCTGAACATTCCTGATACTTAAAATTACGTTATCTCAACTAGCTGTTGCTTCCTTAGGACACTGCCTTCGTTCAACAAGGAAGCTGCTGGGTTATAACGACGTGCACTGTTGTGGCCAACCTACTATGCAGTAGGATTAGGTTAGTCCTCAAGCTGCCAGCCTAGTTTATTTGGAAACCTGCCACATTTTTCAGTCTAGCCACTGCCCTGTTCTCCAGTTTGAGAGTGAATACCTTTAAAAGAAGTAGGATGCAGTGAAGTTTCTGAGAACTGTCTTTTTTCTACTACCTCACCTTAGTGACAAAGCTTTTAAATGGGATATTCTGATCAGCTACCTGGCACTGCCATAGCAAATTCATTGCTTTCATTTTCTTTCATAACTCTTAAGGAAGGCAGGGAGAGCAAACTTTCATCATTAATATAACATCCAAATCATTGTGTGAGAACATTGTAGGTTTCATACCTTCAAATTAGTTAGTTGGATGTTTCCACTGTGATCTGGGGCGGGGGCGGGGGGGGAAGGCAGTTTTTCTCATTAATATGAAAATACTCCTTAAGAACACAGCTTCTGAAACTGCACAGGAACAGATACACTGCAGGTGCACAAGTCTACACAGCAGCTGAAACAACGTTACTAAGAGAAAGTGAGTTTGTAGAACAGCAGAGATGACAGAAAGAAAAGGAACTGCTTTCTGCTAGATTACATGTAATTCACGAGAGCAGCTGCCATGAAAATCTCCAGCAGGGGCTGGAACAGGAATTCTGTTGCAGTCCCTAACAGAAGTGTGCCTGTACCTCTGCACCAGATTACTACAATGGCCAGTCAGGGTTACAACCCACTCTCAGAATTCAAACCTGTAAGAACGCTGGTTAGTTGAAAGGCTATGACATACACTGCTGCTTGGCATGTTGAGGCAGCACACACACACACTGCATACAGCACAAAAGAGTTAAGACTGGCAACAGGGAAGTTGGCTCCAAGAGCTTTAGTGGATAAGGCATGAACCAGTGACTGGTACACACAACAACCTATACTACTTTCTGCTTGACAAACTGGTCTTAACCAAGCATGCTTTCTCAAAGTCACTTTATTTCATTCCTTTCCTTCTCTGAAAAAACCTATGCCATGCTTTTCAGTAATTCTAAAAGCTTAAACACAGACCTAGAATCATTACACACCAGAAAACTGCACTGAAATGTATGCAGAGCAGTCAAACTCTAAATAGCTAGCAGCATTGAGATTTACCTTCTTGCTCACACTGGAGCTCAGGTACAGGAGTAGTCAGCCTGCCAGGAAGATCATCCTGATAATAAAGGCCAACAGATGGAGGGAGGAGAATGAAAAGTCAGACAAATAACAGTGCCTTTAAGATGCTAGGGGGGAAAAGAATGGAAAACACATTAATTTTTTAGCAGAGATGACTAAACCTTAACAGAAATGCAGAAAAAGAGGGGTAGGTGTAACTTCATCAGCTGAAACAAAGACAACACTTAAAATTTGATTCTGTGCTTTGAATGACATTCCTCCTGTTTTGCACAAATAGAATAAAATGTGTGGCTTATTCATTTGCTTGGACTTCAAGGACTCCTATCCCTTTACACGGAAAAGCCAAAACTTCAAAGGAAGTTTCCGTAACTCATCATAAAAGAAATGTTTCCGTAAAACTCCAATAAGGTGTACAGTCAGCTATAAACCTGGATCAACTTTTACAGGGATCACATGAGATGAAGCTTCATCAGTTTCCTATTGACAAGCAATTCTTTCTGAAACTATATCTAAAGATACAGCAATATAGGTTCTACACAGGCAAAAGCTTTTGCACTGTTCCCAACAGACTCAGAAAATTAACCCTAAGATAACTTTCAGGGTTTTGGTTTGCTCAGGTTCTCTGCAGAGCGCGGAAGTCAAGGGGAAGACAGGAAGGAAAGGGACATAGGAATTTATGCATTTCTAAACTGTATAAAATAAAGCCTAAAAAAGCTCATGCCTTGAGCCTGAAAAAGCTCAAGATTCCCCCTCGTCCACCTTCCTCCATTTTTCCCTTACTCAGCAAATTACCTCTAGTGACTACTTAGGTCACTTGCAGTCTCAAAGTGCTTCTCAACTCAGGACAAGACAGCAAGGCAATACTGACAATCTCTCACAGCAATTCCTAATGGCCTAACAGACATTGTTTAGAGAAAGAAAAGGCTCAGGAAAAAAGACAGTGACTGTCCAATAGAAAAATCCCTCTCCTGGCTACCAATTTTACAATCTTTGCAAACACTGAACACTTCTGTGATGGTTGATGGTCCCCTGGCAGAGCTTTAATTCTTCTAATTTCAAAGTAGAAAACAAACCCCCAAACAAACAAATAAACAAAACAACAAAGAGAAGGGAAAAGGATGGGAAGAAAGAAAAGGAACAACAACAGAAAAAAACAAGCAATCAAACCACTTCTGACACTTTACACATTCAATAAGGTTCATACTTTTCTTTTACAGTGTCTAAGAAGCTTCCACCAATGTTTAAATGAAAACTTTAATGTATTTGTTTTTACACATTCTCAAGGTAGAAATAAAAAATATCAAAATTAAGACCAATATTAAATATATATACAACAGGTTTGCAGCACAAGTGCTTGACTGCTCTGTAAAAGGCTAGAAAATAAAGTTAATGAAGTTGCCTATGGGTTCAAAACTGTTAGCAATGATCAACATTAAAATGACAAAAACGAGAATCTCCATATTTTATAATCATACCTTTCTCTAAATAAAAGATTTTAAAATTATTTTTTTTGTTTAATTTTTTAAAATATACAGCTTTTAATCTCATTAATTTATAGGGTTGGGTTTTCTTTTTCCCCCACACCAGAACATTCAGAAAAAAATCTTCCACTTCTCTACACTTCAGGTTCTTGCATCGTGAATATGTATGAGAGTCTTCTACTCAAATTTTGCTACTCCAGATCACCAGTAAATGACACAGAGAATTCTGCATAATGAAAATTATAAATGAGTACTTTAAATAAAACCAGAAGTATTTGAAAGTTTATTTCATTACCACCATAAGAAACAAACTGCTAAGTTTTGGTCAAACAAGTCATCTCCTCTTCTCACTTTCCGTTATTTTTCCTGGTAAGAGAAGAGGCATACCACTGAAATGTAAAATTTTACTTTCAACAGTCCTACAGGGGAAATCTGACTTAAATGTTTCCTAATATACAGTCTGCAAGTTTGCATATTATTTATTCAAACGTTTCTTCAATTGTTCTAGATGCCTTGCATCAACATCCTGGAGAATTAACACAGTAGCTTTAGACTGGAGTGGATTAAACTCTATAGTCATCAAACAACAGAGATCTACCAGTTGTTTTTGACATTTCTCTAAGCCATCCTTAAGTTTTAGACGTAAAGTGGGATCCTTTTTCAAACTGTTCATCTCAGACACCGAAAAGCCAATCAAACTTGTTAGAATATCATCAGCAAAATCTACTTCTAGATAAGCTGAACCATCAGAAATTTTTGCCTTTATACCCCAGGACCCATTGTTGCTTGTGAGGTTTCCAGTGAGAGTAACAATAAAACATTTAACTTTCAGCATTGTAATAGTTTCTGGTCTTTTTGCAAGGAGAAGAGAAATATACGTGAAAGGTGGAGAATCTAAACCTAAATGTGCCTCTACTGCTCTGCAAGGAGAGGTCTGTGAATCATGCTTCTGCTGATCTGCTTCTGGATACATTTTTGAGAAAAATACAGGATCATCATTTAACAGCCTGCTGTCAGAAGCGTGCTGGGATTTACATCTGCTGTCATCTAGGTCTGTATTATTCTGCCTTTCTCCAGGAGGATTTTCCAAATTAAAATCTGCAGAACTGCAGGTCTGATACACGCTTTTGTGCTGCAAAAAGCTACTCATACTATTTCCATCACCATCAAATACTGTTCTTCCAAAAGTCTTTTGCTTGCTGAGATCTTCTACTGGCTTATCACTTTCACTCACACCATCTTTTTTGCAAATGCCATTTAAAGATGAATTGCAGGAACTTCTAGATGTATGTGGAAGTGTCTCAGTAATCAAACCTATGTTTATGACCACTGGTGGCACTTCTTCAAGCTCCCTTTGCATCTCTTCTTCCAGAAAAAAGTCATCTTCTGAAGGAAAGTCATTTAAAAAGCCATCAGCATATTCTATGGGAGGTGAAACTAGATTATCTGAATCAGGCAAAGGACTTCCCAATTCCTGTGGCAATACATTTCCATTGGGTGCAGTTAGTGAACCTCGGGCTGTACTAAAATTGTTGCTTCTACTGTAGTATCCACTTTCTAAAGATGTTTCATTGTTTAAAGCAAATTCATTATTTTCATCAAGACTAGCTAAAAGCTCTTCATCTGAAGGGTCTAGACTTTGTTCTAACTCATTCACAGGCCTTGGAACAATGTGGTCATGGTCAGCTTGTTGGACAGGATTAGGGTTTTCAGTTTCTCCAATTAATCTAGCAAGGACTCTTTCCTGAGAATACTCCTCCAGAAGAGCATCCACTTCACCCCCCAACAGTTTCACATTTTCTGGTCTAAGCAGAAGGACTCCAAGACGATATGCAATATTACCATGTATGGTGATTTTTGTTCCAGGAGGAAGATGACTGTGGAGGACGGGCACTGGTTGATACTCCATGCCCTGAATTTGATGTATCCCATCAGTTAGTTGTAGCATTAACATTCGAGTTGGCTTTGCTTCCCAGGGCTTCTGCAATGCTTGAGTACTGGCTGTTACTTCTTCATTTACAGTATTTTTCCCTCTTAGCTTCTGCAACTGGGAATACGCTGGCTGGCTAACATCAACCAGTGAATCAATCTGTATGGAGTAGAAGCCTGACAACTCTCCTTTAGGAGCACCTAAGATGCAGTCAGGCAAAATGGGATATTCCAAGTCTCTTAAATCAGTAAGAAGCCATTGCTCAAATACCTGACTGTTAATTTGAGCTTGACTTAAGTTACTACCATTATTTTCTTCCTGGATCCAACTAATACATGCTTCCAGCCATGTCAAAGGAACTTTAACATGCCATTTGGATGAAAGCCAACTTTCCACTCTTGCTGCAATGTTAGGTGTAGACATTTTCTTTTAAGAGTGTGAATTCCCTAAAACAGAACCCAAAAAGACATATTTACAGCCGAAGTTATGATCAGTCTCTTGCTCATATTATACAGAAATTTGCTCTCAAAGTTCTGCTATTTTGAGTGTGACAACAAAGAAGCAATTTAAATTAACAACACTTCTACAGACACTAAGAATAAGCATGCATTTCTCCTACTTAAAGTATAAGAACTATGTGTAAGCGGTTCCCACATTATGGAGTATTAAGAAAGTACAGAGACTTCTACGATCAACCCTGCTTGGTGACTTCTTGTTTTCTGTTGATTTAATTAGAACTGTAACACTGAAATCCTTTTGTTATAGATAGAAAGAAAATTAACAAAAAAAAATAATTCCAAAACACAAAAAAATCCCCCAAGCAGTAGTTTGTTACATATATGTCCTCTATTTTTTAATTTGTTAACACTCAGGTTTACTTAAGAAATTGACCCAAGGAGTTATTCTGCCATATCATTGCACTTTTATAAACAGAAGAAACCTCATTTACGACAAAAGCAAGCTGGCATCTGTGAGCACTGTATTGCAGGGGTGATTTTTCAGCTGTAACTGCATAAAAGCTTTGTACCTGACAACAGGAAGCTAGCTTGAAACATCACTAATTATCTAGAGAATCAGTCCAGGGTTTGGACACAATAGCACCAAGCCTTGGTAGTCACCATTGCAGGAGTATCAGTGGCTTACAAACTTTACCTTTTTACTACTTTAGGAAGCAGCAATGCACATATAGAATAGAGTATTTCAGTTGGAAGGGACCTACACTGATCATCCAGTACAACTGTCCAACCACTCCAGAGCTGACCAAAAGTTAAATTTTATTAAGGGCATTGTTCAAATGCATCTTAAACAGTGACAGGCTTGAGACATGGACCACCTCTCTAGGAAGCCTGTTCCAGCGTTTGATCACCATCTTGGTAAAAAAAGCTTCCTTATGTCCAGTCTGAACCTCCTCGGTGCAGCTTTGAACCATTGCCTCATGTCCTGTCACTGAATCCCAGGGAAAAGAGATCAGCAGCTCCCTCTCCATATCCCCTCCTCGGGAAGCTGCAGAGAGCCATGAGGTCGCCCCTCAGCCTCCTTCTCTCCACCTGGCCAAACCCAGAGCCCACAGCCGCTCCTCACAGGACACGGCTTCCAGCCCTGTCACCAGCTTTGTTGCCCTTCTCTGGACAGTCAAGGACCTTCACATCCTTCTGAGACTGTGTGGCCAAGTACGGCACACAGTGCTCGAGATGAGGCTGCACCACTGCTGAGTATAGGAGATAATCATCTCTTTTGACTGGCTCATGATGGTGTGTTTGGTGCACCCCAGAATGTGGTTTGCCCTCCTGGTTACCAGGGCACACTCTAACTCCCATAGAGCCTGCTGTCAGCCAGCACCTCCAGGTCCCTTTCCACAGGGCAGCTCTATAGACATTCCTCTCCCAGCTGATACTCGTGGCCAGGGTTATTCCATCCCAGGTGCAGAATCTAACAGTTCAACTTGTAAATTTCATGTCATTGACGACTGCCCGATGCTCCAATATATCTAGGTCCCCTGCAAGGCCTCTTGTCCCTTGAAATGCTCAAGAGCACCTCCTGGTTCGGCATCATCAGCAAGCTTGCTAATGGTGCATTAAACTCGTGCATGCAGATCATCGATACAATCATTGAAAAGGTATTAGGCTGCCTAACTGCCTCTGGATTACGCTTAACCCCTTGAAAGGCCAACTGAGGTGCTCAGCCTCCCTACAGAGCGCGACCAGAACAAAAGTTATCCTAATTAGGAAACGCTAGGTTTGGGGGCATTTTTTTTGCACTCTAACCTACAGTAAACTAAAACCACTCTGGCTTTAAGTTTCCCCTAAAGCTCCACCGCTCAGAGGACACCGTACAGTTACCTAGCCGAAGCAA